AAATCGGACTTTAGGCCAAATTTTTGACTTTTTGCTAAAGTGCAAGTATGACCTATATGAGAGATGTCCGGGGTCCTGATCTAGTATAGCTGAGAACGCATATTCGTCAAAAATTCGATGCTTTACAGGTCACTCCTAAACAAATAAATTACTGGTAATTCACATTTAATCAGCGATTCTTCAAGTTAGACGAAGATTCTTTTATTTCTGCACATTGATTTTTAAATGATCCTAACAATAATCGCGAGTTTTGTTATGAGTGGAATGATGAATTAGTTACAGCAATTGGATTTATAACCTCACTACTAACTAAACTATTACCTGTATCAAATATTTATTGTGATGCAACATATAAAATAGCAGAGGGCGGTTTGAACTTTATAAAATAATCAGCAGCACCCACGGTGCTGGATTTCCAATAGTATATTTAATGTTAAACACCACTAATGCATCAGATAATGCTCAAATAGGGCTAAGAACAAAAGCACTTACTGGTTTCCTTTGCTCTATTTGCAATAAAGGATTGCAACTGCAGAACTTCTTTACCAACAAAGACTTCGCTCAGATCAACGCAGCTAAAGAAGTATGGCCTAATATTAATGTACAACTTTGTCTATAGCACATAGAGAAGGCAATAAAAGAAAAAATTAAAAGCTATAAAAAAATAAAACAGACCCAGTATTGACCAAGTGAAGCAGTTGAAGAGTTTAGTTTTATCGACTCCACCTTTAAGCCTGATTTAAATCAAACAGATCCTGAATACTATATTATATGTTCAGTAGAATTACAGGATAAAGTTGTTACTCTTATAAAAAAACATTTCAACATGCACCAAAAAATACCTGTCAATGCAGTCAGGCTATTTTTAACAGCAAAAGAAATCTATATTATAGCAGTCCATGAAATATATGATTTTTGCTTCAAGAACCACCTTGTGCTTCTTTGGGCGTACCTGTGGTCCGAATGGTATAAGATCACAAGGTGAATACTGTGGGCTCAGTCAGTACAAACAACTATCCCAATTAGCAAGACAAATATGTTAATAGAATCCCATTGGAGAGTTGTAAAATGCTGCTATCTTTACTGCTTCAACAGGCCACGGCTTGATTATATCATGTAGATTATTTGCACACACCTCCTTCTTGACCAACTAATTCGTCTTCACCAAGTATGACATGAATGAATAACTCCCTCTTGGTTTAAAGATTTCAAGAAAGATTGGAATCAGCTCACTGCAACACCAATTAATGATGATGATCATAATCGTTATTTTATTGATTCGGCACGGTGGATTTGTAGCTGTCCATCATTTCTTAATTCCTGCTTTCTCATTTGCAAACATCTTGTCAAACGTGCAACAATAATAACAAAAATACAAAATTCACAAGGCATCTGGCTTTTGTATAAAAACTTCCAATGCAGGGAAGATTATCCTTTTCTAGTTTGGAACACTAATAAACATATGCTAACAGAGGTTAATACCCAGAAATCAATAACTTCAACAACACCCATGAATCAAATAATAATCTAATCAAAGATGAAGAACCTGGTCCAAGATCAGGAAATAACTTGGATGAAAATGAAGCACTTGATCCAGAAATGATCCAGGTCTGTAAGCAAAAGATTGAAGCTGTAAGACATATAGCAGATCATTTTGAGCAAGAACTTGCAGCAAATAATTTTAACCACGTTATTTGTGTAACAAATAACATGGATAGGTTGTTCACAATGTTGAATGATATTGAGACAGTGCAAAATAGAAGAAGGCGTAATCAGACGTGGCAAGGATCAACTCCATAGACATTATATTTGCAATAAAAAAAATTCGAAATAAATAGATTAGTCAAAGAATATAAAATATAAAAAAAAATACATGTAAATTTTAAAAATTTAATTACCTGTATCAATATAATAAGGATTAATTGATTTGTAACTGTAGGTTACTGTAACCGTAATTAAGATCAGGTGTAACATAATTATCAAAACAATTATTTTTTATAAAAATAAAACTTTGCAATTAAGGTTAGGGTTAGAGTGAGGCTTGGAGTGGGAAAGGGCATAGTTTATATCAAAATTTAGCAAGGAATTTTTTTTGTTAGAACGTAAATGATAGTTTTATAGTCAAAATTTTGAGTTATTAACGATTTCTTAAAAAAACTGGTTTTGTTTTGATTTCACGTTACACCTGATCTTAAATTTTGATTGGCTTTATTGGATGCGGTTACAGTAACCGCGGTTACAAATTTATTAATCCATATAATAAAATTGATTCATATAATTAGTCACTTCATAAAATATAATAGAAAAAAATAAATTGAAGTGTAAAATTTTCAACAAAATAAAACAAAAAAATATATAACCCAAAACACTCTTTTAGTTTTTGACTATATTAAGTTTTGTATAACAAAATCTTTATAAATTTTACATTTGTTAATTATAAAAAGGTTCAATCTACTTAAAAAATAAATAAAATAAATAGATAAAAAACGTAAAGAACTCAATTAAAATTAACCAAATTAAGACTTATCTTGTTTGAAATATTTCTTTTGTAAATGTATTTGTATAATTAAAGTTTTGTGTTTCACAATCCACCAATTATAAAAAAGTTTTTCGATAAAAGCTGTGAAATCTCTAAAGAAATAAAATGTTATCAATGCGACATATGCCTCAACTTCCTTTATAAAAATATCTTAAAACTCAAACACTCACGTAATTCAAAGATTTGTTTCATATGCAGATTTTGAGTAGTGCTTTAATACTTTTTTCGCTATCAAGGCGACAAATTAACAATTTTTTTAAAGATCCATTGCAATGATTGTAAAAGTTCACATATGGCTCTAGCGAAATAACTTCAAAGTCAATATTGCAATATAAAAACAGCAAAGGCAGTAAAATTGCAAATCTCTTAGTAATCTAATGTTATACATACAAAACTTCGAATCTTTCACGATTACAAAAAAGTAGCAGACAGAAATATGTAGGTATTGAGATAGTATAGAAAAAAAATAAAATAAAGTTAATGACAATCATGACGGGCACATATTTTCGGAATCAGGTCGGAGGGTCGGAAGAAACGTGACATGGAAAATCTCACCTACATTCTGGATTCGTCACATTTTTCTTATTACATTATTTAAACTCATGCATATATTAAATACTTCGATGTTATATATAGAAATTCCAAGGTGAAATTATAAGAATGATTAGATGTGCATTAAATATAATCATATTCTTCGTTGCACTTCATTCCTGATACGTATTATCTGGCAATTAGTTTCTTCTAGTATAAGTTTTAACAATGAATATGAATTCTGCTTTGCTGTTTATTACTTGGCAACACTTAACCAAAATTTTTATATGTTATTGGCTTAACTATATTTAATTATTTGATAATCGATCTATTCATGGTCTTGAATTGGATTCGATATTTAGATTATCAATCTTTTGATTAAAAGTAGAATTTGTTGAATAATTTAAAAATTATACTATTTATTTGATAATATATTTAAATTTGATACTATATATTTACCGAAATGGGATACATATTTGGTATGAACCCAAACTAAGTAGAAATGCTGATTTCCGAACCCAAACTAAGTAGAAATACCGATTTCTGAACCCAAACTAAGTAGAAACGCCGTAACTAAAAAAAGAGTTTGGGTCGCAACCCTAACTCCAGTGAATTTCACCTTTAAAATCGTCCTTTTTATAAATAATATAATTATTCCCGTTTTACTAAATGTTGATTACAGATTTTCGCTATAATTTCAAACTCAATAGGGAAATTGCCTCCGGCTGTCAATAATAAAACAGGAGAATAACATTCTCCGCTACCCACGAGAAATAAATAGTACTTATATAGTGATATTTATTCTCATTGGTTAAACCTAAATAAAACTAATTTTTATAGTTTATCTCTCTTTTAATATACTAATTGTTTTACTATTCTTTAATTTAGTTTAGTAAATTATTTATAGATTATTTATAAATACTGTATTTGCAAACTAATTTGCTGTATAATATAAAATATTAACAGTTTGCTATAAAAATTTTTTTATAGTGTATCAATTGTATATTTTTAATTAGAATTTATTTTATATTTACCGGCCTAAGAATTTTTAGGGTTAGAGTGCAGTTTTAGGATAAATAACATAATGTGGATTAGATATAAGGTTCTGATTTTAGTTCTTGTGATGTTTTCAGGGGTTCTGAACATTTTATTTAGACACCCAGCCTTTAATTACTTAGTACGTTTGAGATATAGCACCCTGGTGAATTTCACTTCCAGTGAGTATTAAAATCATCTTTTAAATTAAATAAATAAAATATTGATTTTGATCTGATATGTAATATTATATAATTGTTTAGCATTGCAGTTAAATTTTTAGTTAAGCACTTCATTCAATGCAATAGGTTAGTGATTTGAGCCATCTCTTTCATTTTTAAATTATGGTTCCAAAAAAAGAGGAGATTACTTAATTACCTAAAAATCTAATACTCGAAACTTTAGCATCTGAAATCTTAACTCGCATAACTTTGCCTCTCGTTATTCTCCACTTAACTTACCACAAAAACAGTCATATTTCTACATAATTGTTGTTCGAGTGAAGATAAAATGTCATGGAGCTTGGCTAATATCAATTAGAAGTAGTAGTTTCAGAATTTCAACATAAGTCTCTGATATTTCCAATGTTTTTTTAATAGTGATTGAATGGATATTATTTGATAAATTAGATAATATTGGGAGAAGTATTTGCTTCATATTTTAAATAGCCCGGTTTTCGATAGTATACGGAGCATTGTGTATACAATGAAGAACGGTAATACAGAATATAATTACCAACCAGTACATTTGAATATTTAATAACGATTAGAGTTGACAATGACTAGCGGATATTAAAATATGAAAGACATTTTGTTAGAAGTGTAAGGTCGAAAGTCAAATACTTTCGAAAATGTGTAAACTACTATATACAAGATTCACATACACTCATAAACAAAATAATTGTATAATTTAGGATGTTCTCAAGCAGCATGTTCGATGTGATTAGCTATTGATTGAAATAGTGCTCAACTATTATGGCGTTTAAAGTATAGATGATGATATGATTGAAATATGCTCATGCATTTTCTACAATGGATTAATTTATGATCGTGTTAATTAAAATATTGATTGCAATTAATGCTTGAGCAAACGTCTTTATCATAACTACCATTTAGTAATTATTACAAATAAAAATAAAATAAATAAATTAAATTAAATCAAATTAATGAAAATGATGAGACAAAGAATCTATGACACTTCCAAATTCTGTTACTTCTTTTTCGGAATTTAATACGAACCAACAGAACACGAAAACATGCCTTTTTTTATTTGCGGCAAATATTTTTAGCATGAGTAATAAGGTAATAATAATTTGACGACGTTGATAATGATTTTAAAGGTCTATAACAATAACGATAATAATGTAAAAAGAGTGAAGCACTTGAACAATTATTTTTTCTAATCAATCAATGAAAAAGATTGGAATAATGAATACCATTGGTCAGTTAAATGAACTTCTGCTAATAAAATTTTTCTTTCTGACAGATTAAACTTTTGTTACGCGTTTTACTCATTGGAATAATCAATACAATTGATCGTTAAAGAGTATAAAATAACTCTTTCCCATAGATCATCAAAACAATAAACAGTACAGTAAAAAAGACAAAAAGTTCCTATTCGAGTATAATTAAAGCCAAACAATAGCCATAAGGTGCCCAAAATATACCAAGGAGAGCCTAAATAACTCCTCTATAAAACTGAAAAGAACCCAAAACATATTACTTACCACCCCTGAAGCCTTTGAACCTTTCTTCATCCCACCAACAGCAATTTACATCACCCTGATAGATCCTCTGGGACCTTAGACAAGACATCTGACAACTCTCCCCTACAAAAAAAGAAGACAAAAAGCAACAACAAACAACCCAATCTTCACTTCATCTTGCTTTGCTTCCTGAAAATTAACCCAAAGTGGCCAATCTAGCAAACCCCTGTCAAAAAACCAAATGATATCATCTAATCAAAATAAACAAACAAGTATAAGAAAAAATGAACAAATTCTTACGGTCCAGATTACAACAATGATCATTGATGCCAAACAGCTGATTCATTTTCTAACCTTATTCAAAACAACTCCTGAATCTGGAACAACAACAGCCATATCATAATTTATCAACTTGTGAAACAAAAAATGCTCCTTAAGAAGCATTTTTTAGATACTATTGGTGTTAGAAAAAATATTATATCAACAATAATAATAGACCTCATGAAGTTACAAGTGAATCAAAAACTATTCTAAATAAGAATATTAAGAGTTAAGAAAAAGAACTGTTATCTCATCAAGATATTCAAGATATTATAAATTGTTTAACTCATATTTAAGGTTAACAATTTTGCTAATTAAAATAATATATTATTTAATATGAAAGTTACTTAAATTGTTATTTATAATCCAAAGAATTGGTTAAATAATGTTATACATCTTAACAAAATTTGTTATGAGAAGGTAAGTTAATTACTAGAATCTACAATAATTTTTTGTTTGTAGAATTTAATGACATATCTAAATTTGGGATATTATAGCAAATTAAGAAAATGAAATGACTGACTAGTAAAAGTTTTGAAGCTCTAAAAAAGTTTAATGACAATAGATTTGAAGAATTTTATATTGAAAATGAGAAATAATTTCAAACAGAAATCAGTATTAATATGAATATCAGACACTTTTTATAGATCATATAATTCTAAATGTTAATTTTAATTTTTTTTTTATTACTACAGATCACAAAAACATGCATATTTGTGAACATATCAAGCCAACTGATGAAGCAAATATAGATTATGAAAATACAATTAATAATTTTTGTAAACTTGTAGCTACATTGCAAAGATAAATATTTAAAATAATTAAAGGATATTATTTTATTTTCAAAACATTGAATGATAAGTAATTTACTAATAACTCATTTATTACTATAGTATGATGTAATTATAATAAAATTAATTAATATGTTAGTTAATATATCTATTATTTAATTTAGCATCATGTGGTTTTGGGGCCAACTCTACTATATATGTATATTCTCTCTGATATATTGTTGTTATAGTATTGAATTTGCTTAGCTCATGTTTATGTTATTAAAATTTTTAATTTCAGACTGGCCTTTACTATGAAAAGAGCCTAAGCCATGAATGTAATTTGATTCATATTATAATGAATAATGTGTATAATAGCCCAATATTTTTAATAAAAAGAGTAATACCATTTGATTATATGAAATAATGAAATTAAATTATATTTTAATATTTTTTATTTTTTAGTTGCATAATAAATTTATAATTTAATTGTTATACAATAAAATTACAATTCAAAAACCATAAATTTTTTTTTTTTTTGACCATGTTCATCTCTTAATTGCAACAGTTATATATTATTTTCATCAATTTCTAACCTTTATTTAAAAAACCAATATGGATATTGATTCTCCAGATTCTGTAATTGATCAGGAAAATAATAATAAAATCTGTGAAAATCAAGAAAATAAAACAATATCAAGTGCCCATTCAGATGAGAATGAAGATGTTGTTAATTCACAGCTTCAACAAAAACAAAAAGAACTCTCAACTGTGTAAAAATACTTTAATAAACTTCGTTCTGGAAAATGAAAGTGTAAAAGATACAAAGCAAAATATGGAAAGGAACTAGTATCTCAACATTAAGGTGCCATCTATTATCATATAATATTATTGCACCAATATAGCAACAAAATAGACCTAAGTACAGTAATCATTATTTAGCAAAAGAATGGCAAGAGCGTAATAATACTATAACAAAATGGGTATTATGTAATTTGTAGCCTTTTATTGTTATCAAATGCAAAGAGTGGCAGGATATAATAAAAAATTTAATCCACATTATTAATTCCATAATCGTCATTCAGAAAAGAATCGTATTATAACTCTATATGAAAATAAAAAAGAGCAAGTAAAATTAGTACTCTCTCAAATTCCTGGAAAAATATTATTTATCTCCAATATATAGACTGTATCAAATAGTGATGCATTTCTTAGTTTAATGATTTACTATATCAATTCTTCTTGGAAACTAAGTAGTTTTCTTTTGGATATAATTTTGATGGAGATGCGCCATACTGGATATAATATGGCTGATGCTATAATAAATGTTCTTCGTGAATTTAATCTGGTATTACCTAATTAAAATAAATAAGATTATATACTTTAAGACTATACAAAATCAATTTTTTAATTTTGCATAACCTGGTGTTCCAAAATTCTAGTTGGTGGATTGGTTTTTTTTTAATCTGCTTAAATTAATTGACTTATATTTATATCCAAGGCTATGAAATTAATTATTTTTTTCCTATTGGTCTTATTGTATAATTCTAGGAAATAAGATCTCTATTAGATGATACAAATATAATTTAAAATAACTCAAACATCTAGCTACAATATGACAATCCACATTAATAGTCTAACGATTTTTGTTGGTTCTTGCTAGAGTTGGATAACGAAACCCAAAACTATATATAAAATTCTAAAACCCTAAGACCTTTTTCAAAACTTTATACTATACTAAAAGGGTTAGAATTTTAATTTTAGACTTTAAGATATAAATTACATAATAATTAGATTGCATTTCTGGCGCTTGTTGTTTAGAGCTAGTTCTCATACGCTACCTGCCGACAAGTTCAGAGTTTATCACTCACTGACAAAATTCGAGTAGTGCACTGTCTGGAAGAAGGCTGTCTTTGTTGTTTTTAGTAACTCACTCTCTTTTAAGTGGTATCAAGAGGTCTCTCTTTCATTTTCATTTT